TTGCCATCCGAGCATTGACATGGCGGTGTCAGTCTTGAATGTCCCTGCTTTCGACTTGCCGTCTTTTAATTTTGCTTGTAACTCTGATTTATTGGCCTGAGGTTATGCACGGCATTTCAGCAGTTTACTTCTTGATTAACTTTATTTCAGTAACTGTCCATCGAGCTAACCGTAAATAGACATGGCCGACAACAAGGATGAACTCGTGCAGAGAGCCAAGCTTGCAGAACAGGTAGATTTACCTTGTTAATTGAAAACGCGCCATTTCTTATTGTTTGCAATGTATGACAGTTTTCTCACAGTCTGCAGTCTTGAATTTAGGCAGAGCGATATGACGATATGGCTCAGTCCATGAAGAAAGTTACCGAACTGGGTGCGGAGCTTTCAAATGAAGAGCGTAATCTCCTTTCCGTTGCTTACAAAAATGTCGTCGGAGCTCGCCGTTCGAGCTGGAGAGTGATCTCATCGATTGAACAGAAAACTGAGGGTTCTGAAAAGAAACAGCAAATGGCAAAGGAATATCGTGAAAAGGTTGAGAAGGAGCTCCGTGATATTTGCCAGGATGTACTTGTGAGTAGATCTTTTTACTGAATTAAATTGAGCTTTGAAAAATTTGGAGATAAATTTTCCAGAACCTGTTGGACAAATTCCTCATTCCCAAAGCTGGTAATCCAGAATCGAAGGTGTTTTATTTGAAGATGAAGGGTGACTACTACAGATATTTGGCTGAGGTTGCCTCTGGAGAAGACAGAAGTTGTGAGTGGTTTTTGGCGTTGCTATGCACTGATTGCGATTCTTATATTGCTTGTTCATCTACTACACTTGTGTGCTAAATCATCCCTTTTTAACATCCTAACAATAGTTAGTGCACGAATCACGTTTTTATCGATCCTACTTCTTATGAATATGATGCGCATCTTGAACAAGTTTCGTACAATAATGGTACTACTGACTTGTTGCGTGATAGGGCGTTTTTTTGTCTATATAGCGAGAATTACTTTTTACCTTTCGAGGGCTTGAAAGTAGACGCGCGATATTCCCGTTGACATTTCCCTACTCCTTTATATCTTTAACATGTTGTATTTGCCTTCTGATGTGGAATTGATCAATGCTTGCAGATTTACTAACTGAATTTCAGTAAAATCATGATAGTGGATATCAGTTTATAAAATGTCCCTTTGCTATTGAAAATGTTTACAAACTAGCCGAAGTCTGATAATCAGCTGTGCAGATTAGTGGTCTAACACTTCTTTTTTTAGTCAGTCGCGCAGAATTGATGGTCTTTTAACATTCGAGTAATAAGGGCTGCGGACTGTGAGGCAGTGAATAAAATACTGCTGATTGATTTGATTACCTGAGTTAATGTGGGGGAAGCAATTTCAAAGATTTTTTCTTTATCATAGTGGCCAGTGGCAGTGTTGTAAAGTTGGTGGGTGGTCGTGGCTTTTAAGTGTGTTGTTGTGCTTTAATCTAACAACATAGTTTGAATTTGTGAAGCGAAATTGCCGCGGCGGATGGTCGCGTTTGGGATTTAGCTAAGACGATTTTGGGAAAATGTATTTGTTGAGCATTGTCCTTGGTTAATATTGTCGTTACTCTTGCGATTGCAGCGGTTGTCGACAAGTCGCAGCAGTCATACCAGGAGGCGTTCGACATCGCCAAGGACAAGATGCAGCCCACTCACCCCATCCGCCTTGGCCTCGCTCTCAATTTCTCGGTGTTCTACTACGAGATCTTGAATGCACCCGATAAGGCTTGTCAGTTGGCGAAGCAGGTGATTTCTTTTTGAAATTCTAGCGGTGGCGAGTATCGGGCAAAGCAGCTACTCTGAAGCGCTCGAGATTGCAAAAGAAAATTTGGCCACCACTCATCCCGCTCGCCTTGGTCTTGCTTTGAACTACTCGGTGTTTTTCTATGAAATAGCTTCAAGTCCCGATAGAGCTTGTCAACTCGCGAAGCAGGTGTTCTGTCTTAGATGTGACCTTTATGTTTTCTGCAAATCAATTTATCACTATTTGAGGCATTCGATGACGCTATTGCTGAACTTGACACATTGAATGAAGATTCATACAAGGACTCCACGCTTATCATGCAGCTGCTGAGGGACAACCTCACCTTGTGGACTTCCGATGCTGCTGCCGACGACCAAGACGCAGGAGAGCAAGGGGAGGGTGCCAATTAAACCCATATGATCTGATCCACTTTTAATCAATGTAAGATGAAGATTTGTATAGAGTAATGTTCTACTCTAGCTGAACTATATTTATATCGTCAAGTGATGTGGTTGCCTGTTTTGCTTATTCAAGTCTATCAGTAGGCTGGTATAAGCAGCGCATAGGAAATCACGCGTTCTTCAGTTAACTGATGTTGTTTTCCAGCTTTGTTTCCCATTTTTGAAGAGGTATTTTTTCAGTGTACGATCGTAACTGATTAATGTTAATGCCAGCGTGCAATTCGTGAGTTCGTGACCTCTGCTGTTCTTTTTTACTAATGGTTGTAATAAAGTGCAGCAGTATCAAATTTCCACTGCGTAGTTTGCTGGGTGCACATCTTAGTCGAACTATCTGAAAATGCTTTGTTTTCAGCGTTTGTTGCAGTCCCCTAAAATAGCACTATGAGAAGCTGTGATGGTAATTTCTCTTTTACACATGGTTCTATCGATGTGGCGGGCAATTCTTCGAGCGCGCTGCCGTTATTGATTGCTCCGCCGTGCCAGAATATCAGCGAACATGTTGAGGAATTGTTAGTCTTCGAGTACACAGGCTGTAGGGCTCGAGAAAGCAGCGACCAGCATAGGGTGGATTAAGGCTTCCATCCCATATCTGACAATTTTATTTTAGTAACAGGATTTAGCATTCTTTGTAGCTGTATTGAGGAGGGTTTTTTACAGTCTTTGTAGCACCTGGAAGGTTTTGTTTGTTAGACCCGTAAATAGTATTATTTGCTGAACTTATGGTTTTTAGTCCACGATGTCGCTAGGGCGTCGATTGCAGTAGCTTTTGAATGTGCAACAGGTTTGTAAGTTAATTGTGTTGAAGCAGTGGTATTGCATATATTAGCTTCCACACCAATTTAACTGTAACTCGAACATCTGTTTGAGCTTTATGTTATGAAAAGCTGAAGAAGATCTTGTTTGTTCTATTGTATTCAAAATTGTTTTTAAAGGTATCGTCAAAATTGTAAGTATTGGACTTAGCTCTTAAATAGTGAGAAGGCTGATGAACTAAACACATGATCGGCTACTGAGGCGCCTACCCGTTCGCATTTTGGGCTCTTTGAGGTGGACTGGCAAAACCTTCCATGAAAAAGAAAGTTTAGAAAGCTCTAAGGATGTTTTCAATGCTGTCGGCAGTCAAAATTTTGGGGGCTACGGCATCCCAGCTGCAACAGTAACGTGTCGACCATAGCAGACTGCATCTGCGATGTTACAACCTTCA